GGCGTCCCCTTCTTCTTCTTTTGCCGTCCATCGTTCCCACAAGGAAGGCTCTTCTCCAGGGAGTCCTTCTTCCTTCTCATTAGGTGACCAAAGTCTTTGAGTTTCCTCTTCAGGATCCGTCCTTCTAAAGAGCAGTCAGGGTTGTTGATCTCCTCTAGGACTGACCGGTTGGATGGCCTTGCAGTCCAAGGGACTCAATGCAGGAGTCTTCTTCTCCAGCACCAGCGTTCAAAGGCCTCCATTCTTTGGCTCTCAGCCTTCCTTGTGGTCCAACCTTCACAGCCATCCATGGCAAGTGGAAAAACCATAACCATGACTATGCGCACTTTTGTTGACAGGGTGATGTCTCTGCTTTCTAGTAGGCTGCCTAGATTTGCCATAGCTTCCCTCCCCAGGAGCAAGCCTCTTTTAATTTCTTGGCTTACTCGGTGAAAACATAACAAACAATTAATTTTTTTAAAAGCACATAGACAATCTTCTCAAAGACAGAAAAATTAAACATGCCAAGGAACCAAACACCAAAGTTTTAAACTGTTAAAAAAAGGTTCAAAGCATTTCCTGAAATGCTTTAGTTTACGGAAAAGTCAAGAGCTTCCTTCAAGGCGAGAAGTTTTCACGGCAAAGAGACAAATTCGAAAGAGGGCCTAATCCAGACCTGCGGTGGGAGAGATTTCCAGAGTCTGAACCCTGACAAGGGTTCATCCTCAAATCCCACCGTAAGGGTTGACCAGGAAACGTCAGCCTCCCTCAAGAGTGAGTGGAGTGAGTAGGGGTACTTTTCACAACTGCGGGAATCCGGCAAGGGTCTTTGGGGAGCTAAAGTTAAAGGTTCCCCTTGCGCATATGTGCTGGTCGTTCTCGACTCTAGGGGGCGGTGCTCATATCCATTTCAAAGCCAAAGAGCTAGCGCTGTCCAAAGATGTCTCCGTGGTCATGTGGCCGGCATGACTCAACTCGCGAAGCCGCATCAAACGCTGTTCCCTTCCCACCAAAGGTGGTCCCTGTTTTTCTACTTGCATTTTTTTAACGGTCTTTCGGACTGCTAAGTTGGCAGAAGCTGGGACAAGTCATGGGAGCTCACTCCATTATGCAGCGCTAGGGATTCGAACCGCCGAACTGCCGACCTTTTTGATTGATAAGCTCAGCATCTTAGCCCCTAAGCTACCACATTGGGAGCTAAATGGCTCCCCAAATTTGGGGCTTCCCCCTTTCTAGAGCCTCTCTGGCTCAGAAGCCCAACTGAAGCATGACTGAAGTCTCAACCTACAGCTAGCATCACAACTGAGCCCAGTGTTTCCCGCCGTTAAGTGAAACATGGGTCAACGGAGTTTCTGCCCCATCTTACCACCTGCCCGGCCTCCGGTGTTAAAAGTCGATCGGCGCAGTTGATAAGTTACTAAGCCGGTCGCTAAGCGGATATGCTTTCCCCATGGGCTTGGCTTGTGGGAAAGTCGCAAAAGGGGGAAATCACGTGCCCCCCCGCGGGGACACTGCCACCGTCCTAAGTACAAGTCAGTTTCCAAGCATTTGAATTCCGATCGCGCGATCGTGGGGATTCTGCAGAAGGTCGTTAAGGGTTGAAAAACGGATCCGAGTTGCTTTTTTTCCCCCCCCAGTTCCCATCGTAACTTCGAACGGCGACTAAATGAATCTCTGTCAATCTAAAACCACCTCTTATTGTTGGACCTTATACACCAAGTTTCCTTTCCCCCCCACCCCTAGAAGTGTGCAGTCCAATTCTTCTTCTTTGGACCTCCTGAAGACAAAGATTCTTCAAACTTTAAAAAAAGAGAATGAAACGCTTATCACAAGCAGCCGAGAAAAAAACGTTATCGTCTTACCTCATCTCAACTTTGCTCTCTCTCTCTCTCTCTTCTCTCTGGGTTTCCAGGCTCTCCCAAGGAATACCAGACTTCAGAAGGGATGGCTTTTCAGAGAGACAAGGAGGAGGAGGAGGAGGAGGAGGAAGGGGTAGCCCTGGCCTCTTTCCTGCAGAGAGAAAGAAGGTAACAGGTTTAAAACAAAAGACTCCCAGCTCGGCGAAGTTCCTCTTGTCCCCAGCTTAAGGCGAACAGGGAAACAGGCAAAGCGTTGGTAAAAGTCAAGTTAGGCGAGCAAGAAACGGCATGCATGAAATACCGAATCGACGAGACATCTCGGCGGGTTGCTGTCTCCATGCTCTCGCTTGCTATCGGATCCGGAGCAAAGGAAGAGAGACAGACAGACAGAGACAGAGAGAAAGAGTCAGAGAAAGAGAGAGTGAGAGAGACAGAGTCAGAGAGAGAGAGAGACACAGAGAGAGACAGAAAGAGAGAGAGAGAGACAGAAAGAGAGACACACACAGAGTGAGAGAAAGAGTGAGAGAGACAGAAAGAAAAAGTCAGAGAGACACACACAGAGAGAGAAAGAGTCAGAGAGAGAGACAGAGAAAGTCAGAGACAGAAAGAGTCAGAGAGAGAGACAGACAGAGAGAGTGAAAGACAGAAAGAGAGAGAGACATACAGTGAGAGAGTGAGAGACAGAAAGAAAGAGTCAGAGAGACACACACACAGAGAAAGAGAAAGACAGAGAAAGAGAGAGACAGAGAAAGAGAAGAAGAGTGAGACAGAAAGAGAGTGAGAGACAGAGTGAGACAGAGAGTCAGAGAGAGAGAGAGAAACAGAGAGAGACAAAGAGAAAGAGAGAGAGAGAGAGACAGAGAGACAGAGAGAGACAGAGAGAGAAAGAGAGTGAGAGAGACAGAAGGAGAGTCAGAGAGAGAGAGAAACAGAGAGAGACAGAGAGAAAGAGAGAGAGACAGAGAGACAGAGAGACAGAGAGAGAGACAGAGAGAGAAAGAGAGTGAGAGAGACAGAAGGAGAGTCAGAGACACAGAGAGATACACAGAGAGACAGAGAGAGAAAAAGAGAGATTGAGAGACAGAAAGAGTCAGAGAGCGAGACAAAGAGAGAGAGTGTGAGAGAGAGAAAGAGAGAGTGAGAGAGACAGAGAGAGAAAGAGAAAGTGACAGGAGAGTCAGAGACACAGAGAAAGAGAGAGAGAGACACAGAGAGTGAGAGAGACAGAAAGAGAGTCAGAGAGACAGAGACAGAGAGAGACACACAGACACACACACACAGACAGAGGGAGAGAGTGAGAGAGACAGAGAGAGAAAGTCAGAGAGAGACACACACAGAGAGAAACAGAGAGAAAAAGAGAGAGAGAGAGACAGAAAGAGAGTTAGAGACACACACACAGAGAGAGACAGAGAGAGGCAGAAGTTAAATGCTGTTACAACCTCCAAAAGCTGCAGAATTCTTCCTGTAGGAGCTTGTTGGAAGTTGCCCAACTCGCTTTCCCTTCAAAGCCAGGAAGAAGCCTTAGTCCTACAAAACTTAGGAGTCTGAGGAAGAGGAGGAGGAAGAAGAGGAGGAGGAGAAGGAGGAGGAGGAAGAAGAGTGGGAAAAGCAGGGAGGGAACATACCTCGAGTTTCCCAACTCTCTCGCCTCTCCCCTTCGACAGCTGCAACGTCTCTTGCCTTCCCCCCCCCTCTCCCCAAACCTCCCGCCTGCCTGCCCAGTTACTCCCATACAGAAACCTCCAAAAGGCACAGCCCCTCCCAGGCGCGCACGCTTTACATAATGACGGGGCCTGGAGATTACAGAGCGGGCTGGCCGTTTTCAGCCTCAGCTCCAAGGTAACAAGTTCAAAGGGAGGAGAGCGAGCCAGTGAGCGGCAGGGGAAGCCCGCTGGCCTAAGACGGACTGGTGGGTGTGTTTAAAACAAAAAAGCCCAACCTGTTCCCAGTTTGGAAACATAAATCAATCCATTTATTGCTGTGTTTTGCCGCACTCCCTTCTCTTGAACAGACGCTGATAGGGAAAGCTCTGTTCAAACGCAATTTACCTGCCCAACGCAGGTTAATTATTAGCAAGCAAGTCGACTGCATCTCTTCTGGCTTCCGGGATGCCTCATCCTGTAACTGTTGCGGGGCAGGTAATGGGCCAAAGTCTCCAAATCCGTCAGAGAGAGAAAAAGAGGGGGCAGTAAGAGAAGGGGGTTGGACTAAATGACCTCCAGGGTCCCTTCCAGCTCTAGGGAGTCTAGGATTCCACACCAAGGCTTCATATATTTTGCACACGATGGAAATCTTTGGTAGGTCTGAGCCCAGACGTGGTCTGGATCTCAACTTTGGATATTCAGGGGTGAAATCCAACAGTTTCTGAAAAACTGGTCGCAGAAATGTTGAGTAGTTCAGAGAACCGGCAGCAGAAATTTTGAGTAGTTCGGAGAACCGGTAGNGGTTGCTTTTTGTTTTGCCAGCTAGCAAAACATCTTCATTCCTTCCTGCAGTTCGCAATTCAGCCCATTACATGTTTTACAAGCCACAGTTACCAGAAAGTCACCGTGATACTTATCTGTCCATATAATTTTAGTTATCCATCAGGGGGGACAGAGCAGAAACGACAGTGGCTTGCAGAAAAGGGAGATAAGGCCGTGTTACAGCAAAGCAGCATAAGGTTTTAATATACACATTTAAATAATTTCAGGTTTATTTCGCCGCTTGGATCCCAGCCTTCTGGCATTGGCAAAGGATGTATTAAACTAATATCTGTTGGCCTGATCCCCAAAAATGGGGCCAAGCAGCGCAAATAAACCGACAGGGAAATACATATTTTCTTCCCAATGTTTTCCCTACAAGTGTAGGATGTATTTTTATTTTTTCCCAGACCAACTAAGTGTTGGTTGCGACAGGAATTGACCGACAAACTGGTTGTTTAAGGGAGTCACTGACCCAAAGTCACCCAGCAGGATTCAGTGCTTAAGGCAAGCAAAAACGACTTTTTCTGCTGTTTCTCTTCTCCGACTCCCAATTTGGACAATTTCTCAGGCAGCCGGGTTGAAAAACAAGGGAGGAACCCCAATAATGCGCTATCATTCTGTAAGTCTGTCTTCTTTTGTTTTCCCTGTTGATTTTCACACTTTTAATTCCACTTCTTTGTTGGAGGGCGAACCTGTTGGACTCAATACGTCAAACGGCTTCTCAACGGGGGGGGGGGGGAGAGAACAAGGCCCTCAAGGGACCCAAAGGTGTTTTAACAAAAGGCAACTGGACTTTTTTTTTCCCTCCCCCCCCCCCTCTTAAAGAGGTTTCATCTGAGAAGCTGCTTCGGTTCCGACTGAATGATGGGCAATGGGAGGATTTAAATTCAGTTTAATTTAACGGATTCCAATGAAAGAAATTTAAATTTCAGGATCCACCCTTCGGTCAGAACCGAGGAAGCTTCTTGGAGGAGAAGTGAAATGTCTTCAAGGGGAAAAAAAAAAACCAAGAAAGTCCATCTGCCTTTTGGAAAAGCATTCCAAAAGCATGGGGAGAATATCAATTCCATATATAAGATAAAAGGTTCCGGTCATTCTAGACTGTACGGGCCGGTGCTCATCTCCGTTTCAAAGCCGAAGAGCCAGCGCTGTCCGAAGACGTCTCCGTGGTCATGTGGCCGGCATGACTCAACTCCCGAAGCCGCCCGGAACGCTGTTTCCTTCCCACCAAAGGTGGTCCCTATTTTCCTGCTTGCATTTTTTACGTGCTTTCGAACTGCTAGGTTGGCAGAAGCTGGGACAAGTCACGGGAGCTCACTCCATTACACGGCGCTAAGGATTCGAACTGCCAACCTTCCTGATCGACTGGCTCAGTGTCTTAGCCACTGAGCTACCGCGTCCCTTACTTGACTTAATAGTGCCAAGAAAACCTGTGTTGTGTGTCTAGGGGAAGAGGATTGAAGTGGTCAGTCCTGGGTGAGTTTTTTTTAAACTCATCCAGACCTGGCCACTTCAATCTTCTCCCCTCCCCACCCTCCTATCCCAAACATTTTGAATTTTGATCATGTGTGCAGAAGAATGCTGCCATAAGTGTTACATAAGTGATGACATCGTGGCTTCAAACAGTCCATTAAATGAACTGTTGTTAAGCCGAGGACCACAATTTAAAGGAAAATGATGACCACCTGGATTAAAAAAAAAAAATCACACCAATAACGTCCAAGATTATCTCTTTCCACCCGAGTTCCCTGCAACACACATTCCAGATACGAAGAGAGAGGCAGGGAAACACGAGTGGTGTGTGTACGTTGCGCTTCGAGGATTGCCTACGGAAAAATCTGTTTAGGAAAAGTTGAAAGGGCACTGAACCGTACGAATGCGGCCGAACAATACTGAGAATACTGTACAATATTGTACCACAAAACTCAAAACCGCACCGCAAAACTCAAGAGATCACCAGGAAAAAGAACAAATGCTCTTTTATTCCCCCAAGTTTCCCCACGCATTTTCTTCTGCAGGCAGTGTCTTGCCTACCAAACGTCGGCTGCGAATTCTTAGAATTTCATTCTAAATTCCAACGTAAAACCCCGGGGCAGTCGAGGGAATACCGTGCTGGAGAAGGTATGATTTCTCAGAACTGTATATAAAGTACAGTGATATCTCGGTACTCCTCGTTCGCTGGTGGCAGGAGCTGCGATGAGTAGCAAAAACACCCGAGTACCAAATGAATTTTTCCCACGAGGAATAATGAGAGTGAATCACGAGAAAAGCTGACAAGTTCTAGCTCGCACGTCGCGTACCAAACAAACGACGAATACTGGGACCAAATTTTGTATCAAAATGCGTCGAATACCATACTCGATGCGTTTCAAAGCAGTTGAGTACCAACGTACCACTGTACAGAGGATTTTGTTATTTTTCTGTTCAATCCGATACGCCTCGTTTTAATTCTTTGATGATTGGTCAAGCTCTGCAGGAGAAGGTTGGACTTTCAGTCATAGACTTAACCTCAATCTATATATATAAAAGGCAAATACCACTCATTCATCACAAAATCTCTAGAACCGTAAAACCTACAAACTTGAAATTTGGCACGCATGTTCCTCTTGGCTTCTAAGTGCTCGTTAAGAAAGGATTTGTCCGTTGTATCATTGTATTTCTTATACGGTAATTAACACGCACTGATGCTAGGGAGTTCTACTCCCCCTCCCCGCCTGAAAAGAACTCTGTTCTGACTTCCAGTTGCCTCCGTTACCTCAGTTCCGACGTTGCACTCCTTCCCTCAGGAGCGGTCTGGGGCTCTTTACAGTACTAAACGTCGGTACCTCACCAAAATGTCTACGCCTTCCACCTATGGAACTGCTTCCGGAATCAAGGCGGCAGAAACAATATCCCCTTATGTGTTTCAATCANATCTATCTATCTATCTATCTATCTATCTATCTATCTATCTATCTATCTATCTATCTATCTATCTATCTATCGCTGTAATCAAGAGCATAGAGCCAAAGCTTGGAGCTCTACCCACTCTGCAACATCCTAGGTCACAAACCAATTTCGGCACAGTATTTTTCCTCTGTTGTGTGTTTTTTTCCTTCACACACACGCCAGCCTTGCGCACACAGAAGTCTTGTTAGGAAAAGGGGGGAGTTCCTAACTCCTCTGATAAATCCCTTATCCAAATTCAGCTTCCAGCGTATCTTATCGGGGAGGTGCCCAGCCGCGAGGGCACTGAGGCCTGCGTCGAGATGCCTGAAGGCCACGCGAATTATTTCAAACCTCCGAAATGGCTTTCCAGCTTGCAAGGCCAACAGTTCAAGGAGGCCCAAGTCCTCGGGATGGACGGTGACATTCAGCATCACCCAGCCATCAATGAGGTGACAAGGAAGTGGCAAATGCGTTCCTCTGATGCTTGGAGGAGTGTGGAAGACGACCAGAGGTTGCAAGAAGCGGAGGAAACTTTGCACAGAGTCCAGGATTCTGCTCAATGGAAGAGGGAATTCTGGGATTTGAAGTTCGCGCGTGCTAAAGTTGAGAGAGGGAAAAAAAGTATTTTTCTAAAAAGCTACCTTCACCTTCTCTTCCTGCTGGACTCTTATAGGAGTGTTAAGGGGACTAAGATGCCTACTAAGGATGGCATTCAAGCATGAAAAGAGGATGCCGGAAGCTGTTACCCTCAAAAAATTATGGGTGGGGGCCAGGACCAAAATTATTATGTTTCTTTCCAATTCACTCACACAGACATGTTATTAAAATGAAGAAAAAGCCATTACTCTGGCCACGTATTTAAAGTAATTTCCCTCTCCCTGCCACAGTAAATATTGTTATTTGGAAAGTAATTTAGGGAAGACTCTGGGCGTGATTTTATTTATCTTCCTTTGTTGTTGCGAAGCCGCGTCCGACCCACCGTGACCCCATGGACAACATTCCTCCAGGCCTTCCTGTCCTCTACCATCCTCTGGAGTCCATTGAAGCTCACGCCAACTGCTTCGGTGACTCCATCCAGCCAGCTCATTCTCTCCGTCCCCTTCTTCTTCTTTTGCCCTCCATTATTCCCAGCATGAGGCTCTTCTCCAGGGAGTCCTTCNTCAGTTCAAACTGGCAGACGTTCCACTCCTTCACTCAGGAGCGGTCTGAGGCTTCTTAAAGTACTAAACATTGGTACCTCACCAAAATGTCTACGCCTTCCACCTATGGAACTGCTTCCGGAATCAAGGCGGCAGAAACAATATCCCCTTATGTGTTTCAATCACCGACCACCACTGAGCCAACGGATTGAACTGGAATGAACCGGATTTCTCCTGCATTGCCCAATCACTTAGTTTTGTTGTGAAGCACGGGTATCCCGCTAGTTTTAGTATATTTCTCAATCTCAGCAACTGTGTGGATTTCAACTCTCAAAATTGTCCAGCCAACAACCTGGGCTGGGAAATTTTGAGTGTTGAAGTCCACGTATCTTAAAGTTGCTGAGATTGAGAGACACTCTACTACCAACAAAAATTTTTAAAAAGGCCAATGTGAAGGACACGGAACCTTATCTGCTAAAACAAATGAAAAGAAAGCCATCAAATCGGAGTGAGATACGTGATAATTCCATCGTCAAAGTCACCTACCAGTTTGGAGTTCCCCACTTTAAAAGAATGCTGTAGGGACCACGTTGATGCATCGAAGACCACAACTTTCCCTCCGTTCAAAGCGCACCATAATTTTGGATGGGCTTCTCCATGTTTTTCTGTGGGTTCCAGCTGCCCTAAAGAGTGGAGAATTTTACATTATATGCTTGGAATATATATACCGTATTTTTCAGAGTATAAGATGCACTGGAGTATAAGACACACTAAGGTTTTGAAGAGGCTTTTTTTAAAAAGGGTTTTGCACTCTGCAAACCTCTCAAAAACGGCCCGTTTTCCCCCCCCCAAAAAGGCATGAAAAACCTTTAGGGGGCTTGCAGAGTGCTCCTGGGGGGAGCAAAAACGAAACGGGCAAACAAAACGGGCACATTTTTTTTCAAAAAAACTGCATGCATAGAGGAGGCTTATAGAATACTCCTGAAGGCTGGGAGGGGGCAAAATTGAGCAAAAAAACAGCCCGTTTTTCACTCATTTCTACCCTCCCCAGCCCCCCAGGAGCTCTCTGAAAGCCTTCTACAGGTTCTGCACGGCCATTTTGGTGAAGGGGGCAGGGCTTTGAGAGGCAAAAAATGATGTATTCAGTGTATAAGACGCACCTAGATTTTCAGCCTCTTTTTTGAGGGAAAAAGGTGAGTCTTATACTCCGAAAAATATGGTGTGTATGTGTGTGTGTGTACACATACACACGATATATGTGTGTGTGTGTATGTGTATTGTGTCACAGATGAGAGCTAAATAGCTTGAAATAGTTCTATACTAGTCTCCCATTTATTTATTTATATATTTATTTATATATATAACTGTGTGTGTGTATGTTCCAGCATAATAATTCTGGAACCCCTCGAGCAACTTCAACCAAACTTGGTACACAGATGACGTACTCTCTGGAAACAAATACTGTGGGGGGGTAAGACACCCATAACATCCCTCAGGGTGTGTATCCTGTTAAGCTACAGCCTGTTGTGCCTTCAAATGACTTCTACTGTTGCTGCCGTTCTACTGTACAGTGCAGTGGAGTTGCCATGGTAATGGCTTCAGTACTCCACAAGGGGGCTCCCTCTGGTAAGGGGGAAAATCCAACATTAGAAATTACATTTGGCCCAAGACATTTCCCCCCTAGAAATAGATACCCGGGCAATGCCGGGTTATCAACTAGTTTGATACCCGGGCAATGCCGGGTTATCAACTAGATATTCCCAAGATTTGCAGTCGCCTAGAAGGCTTTGCAGTCAACCTCCTTGGTCCAGTGTGCATGACGGGCCATTGCAAGGGATCACAGCAACACATTTGGTGCTGCAACAAAGAATGCTATTGAATATTAGAACACAGAAGGGAGCTTGGAGGTCTTCTGATTCAACCCTCTGCTCAAGTAGGAGATCCTATAGCAGTCCAGACAAGTGGCTCTCCAGACTCTTCTTGAAAACCTCCAGTGATGGAGCACCCACAACTTCTGGTGGCAAGTTGTTCCACTGATGGATTGTTCTCACTGCCAGGAAATGTCTCTTTAGTTCTAGCTTGGATTTCTGTTTAATGTTTAATCCTTCCATTCCTCAAATGACCAGTTGTCTGCAATGAGTATAAAACCTTCCGTTCCCCAAGTCAGAGCTGAAGAAGCTTCTCGGATGAGAAGCGAAAGGTCTTCAAAGAAAAAGGAAGCCCAGTTGCCTCCTGAAAAAGCATCTTTGGGACATCCATAACCTGCATGAGTGAGAATCTCTACAGACTTTGGAGAACATCTTCTCTACTCCTCCTTTACGATGTCATTTGCTGAATACTTTCTCATAGGTATAAAGGTAGATCTTGGATCCCGAACAATTCCCACAACACCCAAAGTTGGCCTTCAGTGAAGATCAGTGGTCCCACATCTGAGCCTTGAAGCTGGATGGGTTTAGGCATTTCTTTGTCCACGTCAGAACTCACCTAGGCTTCCCCCAAAAGCACGAAGTAGATTCCTAGTCCCGGCAAAACCCCTTTTATTAAACAAATGTGAATTCCTCTCATTCACATTCAGCGAAGGCCTGGTAAACAGTCTTTCAAAGGTGAATTTATGACCACAGACCTTATCTAGCTTGGAAAGCTGCCATGTGAGTATTTTCCAAGTGCAGTGCAAGGAAAGTCTTGGCACAGAGTCTCTGAGATTCACGGACAGATCTTCACACTCCTGAAACGAACGAATTGTTTCCTGCAAAAGGCCACTTCCCTTTTGCTCCTCTTTTATTTCCTATGGGAGGGGCCATTCACCGTCCACCTGTGGCCTTCCTCCCAAGTCCACCCTGATTTCTATGCTGTTCTTTTCTTCTGGCAGCTCTGCGCATGGGCACACTGGGAACAGGCTCCAGCTGCTCCTCTCCCTCACTGATGTCTGACTCCGAAGGCAGCTGATAACTGTCAGAGGGCCCTGGCCCCCTCTCTGCCTCCAACACAGAGCCCTCATCCGAGCCTTCCCCAGCCTCCAGGACTGGCCCATGTTCCTCCCCAACCTCTCCTCACTGTCCGACTCAACTGCCAGCTCTGCTGGCAGGCCACAACAACCTGGGACCATTGTTGGGATACCACTGTACCCCCCATTTTAATGAACGTAGGGAATGGACAGGTTACATCATGAGTTAAGGCCACCTTCAATTCCATACCTGGTGTGTACAGCAAGACTTCCACTGCTTGTGGGAAGGTTTCATCAGCTGATGGGTTGATCTTATGCTTTAGTGTTTCAGAAGTTGTTTTGGGAACCATCATGGGCCCTGGACAAACAGGAGACAGGCATGTTTAAAGATGGTTATAGGCAGTGGTGAGATTCCATTTTTTCCCCCAACAGGTTCTGTAGGCGTGGCTTGGTGGGCGTGGCAGGAGGAGGTTACTGAAAAATCCCCATTCCTTCCCAGTCAGATGGGACTCGGGAGGCAGAGAATAGATGAGGGCGGGGCCAGCCAGGGACGATTTTTACCAGTTCTCCGAACTACTTAAAATTCCCGCTACTGGTTCTCCAGAACTGGTCAGAACCTTCTGAATACCACCTCTGATTATAGGGCCAAAAGGAAACCAGTTCTGAAGAACCAGTAGTGGAAATTTTAAGTAGTTCAGAGAAGCGGTAAAAACTGCCTCTGGCTGGCCCCGCCCCATCTATTCTCTGCCTCCCGAGTCCCAGCTGATCGGGAAGGAACTGAGAGAAGACTGATCAGGAAGAAAAGGCAAGCTCTCCCCAGAGAAAGCCATGTAAGTGATCTATAGCAATTCTTGGCATCCTTCATAACTAGGGGGTCATTATGGTCACTTGCAACTCTGCACTTGGACTACTAACTTAACACAAGAACGTAAAGAAGGTCACACAATTCACACCACCAAAAGAGTGGTGCAGTATGGCCTAGAGGTGGAGCTCTCGCCTCACAATCAGGAGGCTGTGAGTTCGATCCTAGGTAGAGACGGATATTTCTCTCTCTGGGCATGTTAAAATTATATCTGCTGAATATAATCCGCAATGGCAACAGGAAAAGCATCTGGCCAGTAAACACTCAGCTCCATTCAGTTGCCCAGACTCCACCCCGCAAGGGATTATGGGGGTTGTTAAAAGACGATGATGAGAAGAATGTTATCTACTGTAAACGACCCACCAGCTCACCTTCGTTCTTCATCCTGTCAAAGTAAGATAGCTTCGAAGCAGCATAGATAATTTTGGAGGACTGCAGAGAACCCACTACGGCGTCCATCAGAAGGACGTTGGTGAGGGCTTGTTGAAGGTACTGTGGATCCTGAAACGGAAGAGATGGGATGTTGAGATGAACCACCAGGTGTCACAAACCCGATTGCAACTTGCACGTGTTTTGCACATGAGATTCCATGTGAATTTTCCCCAGCGTACATTGGAGGATCATGTATAGAGTTCTGGGCCTCTTAACATACAATATTCTGTATATAAGAAACCGAAATATGAATGTGGAATTGCAGATTTTACTCCTTAAAGTACAACTTTGCCTTTTTTGGGGAGAAGCAGCTCGTGTGTCAACTCTGAAGTTGACCTGTCCGAAGCCATTTTGAGGCTTCAATGTTGCCACACTGGAGCCGAGGGCTACTGTGGGGAGAATGGAGATAGCTGGGGTTTTTTAGCCAAAACAAAATACTTTCTCTTGAGAACCAAGGACATTCCCACAGGTGGCCAGAGAGAGGAGGAGTGAAGTCACAAGGCAACTTGACGGCAGCTTGATTGGACCATGTGACTGATTGTTTGGGAAAGGGGATAAACTTTTATTTTTAATTAGGTGAAAACCGCTGGAACCTTCAGAGTCTGTTTTCACCAAGTCTGCGTCAATATGATATATCCAATAAAGCTGTTTTTGAGGAATCTACCTGCCTCGGAGTCCTGTTTGTTGATGGCGTATTATTTGACACTATGTTTGAGGTCCTTGGAGAGACAAATTCAATTAAAATCTAGGGGGATGGACTACAAGACCTCCCTTCCAACTCTTTGATTCTGAAATTCTTTGGATCCTTAAAGACTAATCAATATAATTGGTTAATAAAGCAGGAGATGTTTGAAATAAATCCAAGGTGATGTAATGCTTGGCATCTTTAAATAACGTTCTTTGGAAATAGTTTGGAAATTTGAACAGGTAGAAACTGTCTACTCTACGCTTGATGTCTATTTTCGCTACATCGCTGCAGCATTATTCATCCACAAAGCGATTTTTGTAAGGTTGTGGTTCTGATGTTACTTGTGGTGGGTCACAATAAAATCAGACCAAGACACAAGTAAGAAAAATTCAGAAGCGTTGAAGAGAGGCAGCTTCCAACAAAGTGTTTGAACCACAGCAGGGAAGATGTTAAGCTTCATTAATATGGAAGCTTGGATGACAGTTTCCCTGCTCGCTCAATTATTAATCTTGCCATCTGGAAAAGTCACATGAAAATATGAATCTAAGCATCAGGTCTGCAACCATCTTTTCTTTTGGGTTTCTGGCCTGCCATACTTTCTATTATTCTACTATGCATTTTCTATTGTGGGAAAATGGGAGTGGGGATTGTATAGAGTTAGATGATATGTAGCCATAACA